GAACTAGGAAGCCTAGTTCGAACTACCTAGTTCGTGCCCCGTGTAGCCGCGCGGCACGGGGTTCGAACAAGCGGGGATTTAAAAATGGTGGCGCCCCGCTTATGCAAATGAAGCCCGGGAAATTCAAATCCCGGGCTTCATTTGCAAGTGCGGTATGCCTACATTACCCCGCTAGTTCGAAATAGCAGGGTAGTGTAGACATACCCTAAGTCCTATCCCACCTTGCACAGAAAAATTTCATTGCTTGTGATGCATCTCAGGTGGGATGTGTCATTTTAAAGAAAGTATATCTGAGCTCAAGAAATCAAAAAGATGATACTGCCTGTTTATGTCCATCTCTGATTTTAAAAACCCATACAATTTAAAAATTGCAGGACCTTTATTACCAGTCATATTCACAAGTGGGAGTGATGTTTGCTTCCATCCCAAATTTCAATGATTTCTACATTGAACTGGATGGCAATAACATGGGAGTGGAGTGTTTACGCCTCTTAAATGAAATTATTGCCGATTTTGATGAGGTAAGATTAAACTCTCTGTCATTTGATCTTACTGACGCCTGTCAATTCAAGATTATTTGTGGAACATTTCTCTTTGTTTGAACTATCTAATAATGTCACTTTGTAAACATCTGATTTAGGTGGGAGTTAGGTGCCTATGCGCTTAATGAGATCTACAAAAGCACCTCTCTGCCATGTTACATGCTTAAATATCTTATTAATTCTGGCCCACTATGTCCATTAAAAACTTTGTTTGATACAGCTTCCACAGAAGTCATTCAGAGTATTGCCACTTGCCTTGAATGGGAGCAAGACTGGGCCTATAAAGTGGGAAGTGGTTTATCAACTTTTTTGTGCGCATGCTATCTGATAACTATGGTTTGTTGTCTAAAATATTATGTAATGTTTAACAGTTTTATGTTTTAAACAAAGCTTATGGACAAAGAATATTATAAGGACATAGAAAAGATCAAGACAATTGGCAGTACATATATGGCAGCTGTAGGACTTGTACCAACTACAGGAACTAAGGTGAGTTAGCCACACAGTATAATGAAAGATTCTGTGTACTCCATGTGCAAATGCTACTAAGTCAGTCTCCAACTGAAAAATGCAGCCCCATCAGTTGTAAAATTAAGTCTGGAATGATAACTGATAATAGATTTTTTTGCAACAATTTAAACTTTTTTTAAATCTGAAAAACAAACAATAACTGAAGACTCTGGGGCTGCGTATAGACTGGCATGATTTTCTGCAAATGCTTTTAACGGAAAAGTTTTTCCGCTAAAAGCATTTGCGGAAAAGAGCTTCTAGATTGGCATGGATGCTTTTGCGCAAAACCACTTTTTGTGGAAAAGCGTCTGTGCCAATCTAGACGCGGTTCTGCACAAGAAAGCCCCGATCGCCATTTTTACCGTCGGGGCTTTTTTGCGCAAAACAGTTTTTAGCTGTCTACACTGGCCCTCCTGTGCAAATACATTTGCACAAGAGGGCTTTTTCCCGAACGGGAGCAGCATAGTATTTGCGCAAGAACATGGACAATCTTACATTAGATCGTCAGTGTTCTTGCGCAAAATCAAGCGGCCATTGTAGACAGCTGGCAAGTTTTTCCGCAAAAGCAACCGCTTTTGCGGAAAAACTTGCCAGTCTTGATGCAGCCACTATAATGCAAGCATGGTGTTCTGAGCATTACCTAAATGCTTAGGACTTGGGGTTTGATTCTGTGTTCTCTTGCACCTTGTGCAGTTATCTTCAGTGGTGCAAATTAATTGTGAAAGTTATATGAGCAGAATGGTTGTGCTTTATACCCTCTGTACTTTTGTCAACTCCATGGCTATGTCTACATTGGCATCCCTTTCCGGAAAAGGGATGCTAATGAGATACTTCGGAATTGCACCATGTTATTTCAAAATAACATACTTGCTGTGTGGACTCTCACATAGTTATTTCGGAATAACGGTCGTTATTCCAAAATAACTTTGCTGTGTAGATACACCCTAACAAAGTAATACATGAGAATAATCAAAGCAGGTCTGGTGTTAGACTTCAATATCTGGGGCCATAGTCAATGCATTTTAGCATGTACACCATGCCTGATCTTATGTCCGTATCTGTGAACTGCAGAGACACCTTGAGAGAACAAAAATAGAAGTGCAGAATAACACTGCTTTGGCGAACAAAAGAAAAAACTGGTAGGATAAGCCATGAACTTTTCAATAAGACAATTAACCTTGTTAAATAAATAAAACACAAGGCTACATCTGAAACAGTTATGGGGTTCAGTTTGGATTCTATATCTCACATACTGAATATTCTGTGATTGTTGGATACCTCTGATGTTTTTGTGCCATTCCTCTTCATTTCTATGCTACTGTTGAAAGAAGAGAAATCCAAATACAAAGAAAACTATTTTTAAAATACGTGTGTGTGGTAAAATTGTTGACTCTAATTTAGGTCCTGAGGTAGTCAAAAACTGATCACTTGAATTTTGTATCAGTGTGACCTCAGGCAAACAAGCAGAGGCATACGAGTATGTTTGGTATAAATGCTCTTTAAACTAGAATCCCAAAAACAAGTGTGTTACTGGGTAACTTCAGCAGTGTATATTCCAAAAGCTAAATACATTGATTTCATCTATTATATATTTGCTAGCAAAGGAGCCATCTGAAATAGTTCAGTACTGAAAATATTCAGTCAAATCCTATAGTAGAGTTTTGGTTAAAATTATATAGAAATAATTCTCTTACAAAAATATCCTAATTATTTTGCTATGAAAACAGATGCTGAAAAGGCCAAACTTTTAGACAGTGAGATAGATTTTCAAATGTGCTCTGCTCCCTTTGTGTCGTTCATGTGATAGAAAGTGTATTTCACCTTCTGGAGATTTCCACGTATGAAGAAATCCTCTTCTGGCATATGTGTTGCCAGCCTTTTACGTCCCTCCTGTTCCTCTTATTTCACCCAGTACTAGAGGTGTGGAAGGAACATGGCCAGAGCTCTGTCAAACCCAATTTTGCATATGTTCCTTCAGGGATCATTGCCAACTGGTGTATGTCCAAGAAGCCTCTAGCCCAGTGGTTCCTAAACTTTTCAGCATCATGCCCTGGAATTTCTTCACACCCCCAGTTTGGGAGCCCATGCTCTAGGCAGTTCTGACCTAAATGGAGTCAAAGTTGGAACTGAACACAGAGTCGAGCTCCCTGACATTTCTGCATCTCCTCTGTGCCAAGTGACTCTCAAAACTGCCACACAGACAATCTCACCCAGCCTTTAATTTTGCACTTCCAGGTTTGTGCCTAAAAGTTTGAGATGGCACATCCACGGGGTGGGGAGAGGAAGGTGGGGGGAAGGAGGAGATGACAGACTAGCCGGAATCCCTGGGCTATGGAGAGGGGCAGCAGGACTAGGGGCTGGGGTTAGCCTCCCCTTCAGCTCATCAGCACTGCCCTGAATGCATCGTTCAGGGCTCCAGCTGTGATTTAAAATGCCTGGAACTCTGACTGCTGCCACTGGCCCATTTTAATTGCCAAGCTCCAGGGCAGTTGTTCCTTTGCCTCACTCCCTCCTGTCAGCAGTCCTGGGAGCATCAAAATATCCATTAGCCAGCCATGTGGCTAGCTATGCTTTATTTAGCTTTTCTCACTTCATTTATACCTCACTTTATTTAGCTTTTCAGGCAATCTGCAGAGACTCACATACCAGGGTACCGACCTCTGGGGAAACTGTCAAGAAGCAGGGCACAAACCCCAAATAGTTTGTATGTCCTGTAATTAGATTTCAACAACCAAGTACAATCTCCACAATCACTATAGAAACGTTACCACGGGTCACAGACAGTTCCCTTGTGCACTCTGGGCTTCTAGCTTTCCCCCTAGATAAGTTTACCTTTGTGATAAATGGTCCCTTTCTCCACAAATCACAACAATCTTCAGGTTACTCCCAGGCTAAAGGATCAGTCACTCACCCCAAGTCAATTGCACCCCCTGATCTCTCACCAAAGACAAACCTAGTGGACAATCCTATAATAAACTAAGGAGTTATTCACTGGGGGTATGTCTACATTGCATTCCTCCTTCAAGAAAGGAATGCAAATGCAGCCGAGCGAAATTGCAAATAAGCGGGGATTTGAATTTCCTGCGCTTCATTTGCATAATCGTGGCTGGCCGCTTTTTCAAAATACACTATTTCAAGATGATTAACTCTGTTTAGATGCAGTTATTTAGAGAAAAAACCCTTCTTTCGAAATAACCCTTACTCCTTATAAAATGAGGTTTAAGGGTTATTTTGAAAAAAGGGTTTTTTCTCAAAATAACTGCATCTGAACAGCATTTTTTATCTTGAAATAGGGTTCTTCAAAAAAGCGGCCAGCCGCGATTATGCAAATTCAAATCCCTGCTTCATTTGCAATTTTGCTGGGCTGCATTTGCATTCCTCTCTCGAAGGAGGAATGCAGTGTAGACATACCGTAAGAAAAGAAATGCAGATTATTTACAAGGTTAAAGCAGGTAAACATACACATATCGATGAGTTAGTCTTAGGTATCAAAAGGTGTTAGTAGCTGCTATATATTCAAGCTCCGTATGTTTTAGAGCTAACTCAAACTGAGCAGCTTGAAAATCCCTTGCTAATGTCTAGAAATATTGCCCTCTCCAAATCTGAAGCTGCATAATGATGATTTTTCTTTAACAGGGATTTTTATTCCTTTCCTCCATTGTTCAAACTATGATGGGATGTGGGCTTATGCGGATACCTTCTTCATGGGCATGAGGGCAGCAATCATCACAGTCTTTTGTCCACTGATTTTCCACAATGGCTTGTCTATTGTCTATAGGCCTTCTTTTGTATGAGAGGAGATGACACCTTATGTGGTAAACTAGTGTTTCAAACTTGGGGATGCTTCTTCCTGACTGTAGGCTTTACCATCTTAGCAAATGAAGAGCAAATACTAAAATGTTACTTTTATAGTCGAAGAGCAAATACTTAAATGTTACTTTGCCACACTAACCATATTCTTATAACTCTAATACATATTTTAATGCTGCTAACACAGAGGTGAGCCATATTGGTTTCCAGCTATACATTTGTCAATATTCTGTGGCCTAGCAACCTTGGCTTGAGCTGGAAGTGGGTCAGCCAACATCAGAAATAGATCCTACAAGTGATTTCTATAGGCTTGTTCATCCAGTTCAGCTTCCTTCCACCTCCCATGGTTCCTTCTTCCCTCCCACTTCAGGAACCCATCTCACAAAGATCTGTTAAGGCAGGAGGTATAATCCCTGCTAGGTTTTGGGATGACTGAATCTGTTCCACTACTAGAATTGGTTGGGAAAATGTTCTATTCCTAGTACTTCCTCATTCTTCATCTCCCCCCAAAATGGGATAGAATAAATCTAGACAAAAAATGTGGTAGAATAATTCTGGACATGAGGACTTTACACTTTTGCCCACTCTCATTGGATCAGAATGGTAACCTTGGCAGTAATAATTCCCTTTCTAGATTTGGATGATTGGTCTGTTCTCTTGATTTTCAGAATGCTTATTTTCTCATTGTTATTCATCCCTCAAGCAATCCCTGCATTCTGTGGTAGGCAGCGATCATTACCAGTATTATGCCTTACCCTTAGTGATCATTACCAGTATTGTCTTTCCATTGCCCAAAGGATTATTGCCAAAGTTCTTTCAACCACAGCAGCCTGTATTCACCAGTTGCGCATAATCATCTTCTTCTACAGGACAATTGGCCCCTCAAAGGTCATTTACTTATTGAATCACAGACAGCAATCAGCAAGGCCATTTCTCTGTTTCACTCTCTGCTTCAGTATCAAAAAGCTTCCACTAACAACCAATGTATAGATTTCATCAGGGCTACACTGGACACTTTCTACCACATTATACTTCCCCCCAAGGAAAGATTCACCACAATGTTCAATTTTGTTCAAAATATCCATTAGCCAGCCATGTGGCTAGCTATGCTTTATTTAGCTTTTCTCACTTCATTTATACCTCACTTTATTTAGCTTTTCAGGCAATCTGCAGAGACTCACATACCAGGGTACCGACCTCTGGGGAAACTGTCAAGAAGCAGGGCACAAACCCCAAATAGTTTGTATGTCCTGTAATTAGATTTCAACAACCAAGTACAATCTCCACAATCACTATAGAAACGTTACCACGGGTCACAGACAGTTCCCTTGTGCACTCTGGGCTTCTAGCTTTCCCCCTAGATAAGTTTACCTTTGTGATAAATGGTCCCTTTCTCCACAAATCACAACAATCTTCAGGTTACTCCCAGGCTAAAGGATCAGTCACTCACCCCAAGTCAATTGCACCCCCTGATCTCTCACCAAAGACAAACCTAGTGGACAATCCTATAATAAACTAAGGAGTTATTCACTGGGGGTATGTCTACATTGCATTCCTCCTTCAAGAAAGGAATGCAAATGCAGCCGAGCGAAATTGCAAATAAGCGGGGATTTGAATTTCCTGCGCTTCATTTGCATAATCGTGGCTGGCCGCTTTTTCAAAATACACTATTTCAAGATGATTAACTCTGTTTAGATGCAGTTATTTAGAGAAAAAACCCTTCTTTCGAAATAACCCTTACTCCTTATAAAATGAGGTTTAAGGGTTATTTTGAAAAAAGGGTTTTTTCTCAAAATAACTGCATCTGAACAGCATTTTTTATCTTGAAATAGGGTTCTTCAAAAAAGCGGCCAGCCGCGATTATGCAAATTCAAATCCCTGCTTCATTTGCAATTTTGCTGGGCTGCATTTGCATTCCTCTCTCGAAGGAGGAATGCAGTGTAGACATACCGTAAGAAAAGAAATGCAGATTATTTACAAGGTTAAAGCAGGTAAACATACACATATCGATGAGTTAGTCTTAGGTATCAAAAGGTGTTAGTAGCTGCTATATATTCAAGCTCCGTATGTTTTAGAGCTAACTCAAACTGAGCAGCTTGAAAATCCCTTGCTAATGTCTAGAAATATTGCCCTCTCCAAATCTGAAGCTGCATAATGATGATTTTTCTTTAACAGGGATTTTTATTCCTTTCCTCCATTGTTCAAACTATGATGGGATGTGGGCTTATGCGGATACCTTCTTCATGGGCATGAGGGCAGCAATCATCACAGTCTTTTGTCCACTGATTTTCCACAATGGCTTGTCTATTGTCTATAGGCCTTCTTTTGTATGAGAGGAGATGACACCTTATGTGGTAAACTAGTGTTTCAAACTTGGGGATGCTTCTTCCTGACTGTAGGCTTTACCATCTTAGCAAATGAAGAGCAAATACTAAAATGTTACTTTTATAGTCGAAGAGCAAATACTTAAATGTTACTTTGCCACACTAACCATATTCTTATAACTCTAATACATATTTTAATGCTGCTAACACAGAGGTGAGCCATATTGGTTTCCAGCTATACATTTGTCAATATTCTGTGGCCTAGCAACCTTGGCTTGAGCTGGAAGTGGGTCAGCCAACATCAGAAATAGATCCTACAAGTGATTTCTATAGGCTTGTTCATCCAGTTCAGCTTCCTTCCACCTCCCATGGTTCCTTCTTCCCTCCCACTTCAGGAACCCATCTCACAAAGATCTGTTAAGGCAGGAGGTATAATCCCTGCTAGGTTTTGGGATGACTGAATCTGTTCCACTACTAGAATTGGTTGGGAAAATGTTCTATTCCTAGTACTTCCTCATTCTTCATCTCCCCCCAAAATGGGATAGAATAAATCTAGACAAAAAATGTGGTAGAATAATTCTGGACATGAGGACTTTACACTTTTGCCCACTCTCATTGGATCAGAATGGTAACCTTGGCAGTAATAATTCCCTTTCTAGATTTGGATGATTGGTCTGTTCTCTTGATTTTCAGAATGCTTATTTTCTCATTGTTATTCATCCCTCAAGCAATCCCTGCATTCTGTGGTAGGCAGCGATCATTACCAGTATTATGCCTTACCCTTAGCGATCATTACCAGTATCGTGTCTTACCCTTAGCGATCATTACCAGTATTGTCTTTCCATTGCCCAAAGGATTATTGCCAAAGTTCTTTCAACCACAGCAGCCTGTATTCACCAGTTGCGCATAATCATCTTCTTCTACAGGACAATTGGCCCCTCAAAGGTCATTTACTTATTGAATCACAGACAGCAATCAGCAAGGCCATTTCTCTGTTTCACTCTCTGCTTCAGTATCAAAAAGCTTCCACTAACAACCAATGTATAGATTTCATCAGGGCTACACTGGACACTTTCTACCACATTATACTTCCCCCCAAGGAAAGATTCACCACAATGTTCAATTTTGTTTCAACAATGTTCACAAACCACTTCAAAGTCTTGCCTAGAACTTCTGGGCCTTATGGCAGCCTTTTCATTCATGACTCCTTTAGCAAGACTTCAAACTCCGTGTCTTCAAGCATGGTTAAAAACCATCTATGCCCCCAACAACCACAGTCTATCCACGCAAGGGGTTCATTGCTCAGAACGTTCTCACTTAGGAGGAAGAACCCACAAACTGTGTGGGAGAGAGAGTTCCCTTTCTGTACCTTTCTCCCACCAGGATTATCCCAATAGGTTGGGGCACATACTTCCAGAGCCTGTCTGCTCAGGGCAAATGGACGTCTCAGGAGATTTGCCTCCATTTCAAGATTTGGAAGCTCACAACAGTTTATTATACTCACCAATGGTTCTTACCACACGTCAAGGCCACAGAATCAGAATAACACTGGACAACAAAGCAGCAATAAAGCATCTCTGGGGACCACTCTGAACTGCCCCCAGGTAGATACGTAGCATCCTCACCACCATGAGCCCATCCAGTGAGTTGTCTGTTCACCTACGTTGATTCGTCCTTTCCAGCCACCAAAGCCTTCCTGTGCAAACCTTCCTGCCATTCCACCAAAACCATCCCCTGCACTGGCCCTATCTAGCCTTCTTCCAACCTCTACAGTTGTTCCAAGTTTTTCACATTGCAAAACTGATCTACCTATTCATATTTAATCTTGACCTAATTCAGACTAACCCGAGACTTTGAAGGATGCAACCACCCTCTAACTCCCACTGAAAGCAAATGAGGTAAGACTTCAACATTCCTCACAGGATTGAAGTCAATCTCGCACCTTTCAGGTAAACAGGAATGTTATCAACAGGATCAACATGAAGCCCCAATACCCACATAGCTAGCAAAAATCCCAGTTACCGGTTACCACAGGAAGCAATGCTTATAGCTCTGAGCAAATAGCTGTTGCCCTCTAATGGCAGAAACTTTTTTTACAATAGGAATGTTGCTGTCCTGGAGTATACCCATCTGTTTCTTCTCTCAAAAACACCTGGGAAAGGCAGGAATCCAGAGCATTTGAGTTTAAAGCAGAAAACATGGATTTTCAAAACTAAGGACAGCTCTGTCTTCAAGTTTAAGCTGTTAGTAAATCCTTAGTTGGTCATGTGTCAGACCTGCAGTGCTAATCAATAATAAATAGACAAAGAATTTCAATTGATTTCATCTAACCTTAGGCTTTGGCCACAACTGATGTGTTGTTGTGATCCCTTTTTTCCATTGAATGTCTGTTTCTGAATCTCCTGATTAGTACCTATAACCCTGGAATTCAAAAAGAGAAATGAAACCAATTCAGCACTGGAGAAAAATTGCACAAATATTGAAAGCACAAATGGAAAGTTCCATTTCACATTTAGCAAACCAATTTAGATGCAGTTCACAAGCTGTTCAGAATGAAAGGTATGGCAGTGTTTTATCTGGCTCTCACTACTGTGTAAATCTAATGTAAAATGTTATTTTGTATCTAGGCTAAAAAATCAATTTATTCCCACTTGAGTACACTGGCAGATTTTGCAATAGAGATGTTCGACGTCCTTGATGAAATCAACTATCAGTCTTACAATGACTTTGTCCTCCGAGTTGGTAAGTCATGTTTCTAGAGTTACTCTAAAAACTGTAGTATTGCTGTTGGCTAGCTTCCCCCATTTTATCTGAACAGATTCAGTAGTAGAGAATTACCCATGTTTTAGAATGAAATTAGCTCAGATTTGTGCTCTTGAGTGAAACTTGGAGCCAGAAGAATCTAGATCGACGCCCATTTTATCATCAACATGTTTGCACCACTGCCATAAATTTAATGGGAGTTACACATGCATAAGATGGGAATGAAGGCATGAATATTAAGGGTGTTAATCCTTATGTTCAGGACTAATTCCAATCTTGTTAGTTATGTGATGCTTAGCTAAAATTCCTTTACAGTTTCTGTTGCATACAGTTAGCTTTCATTCCCTGTCATGATCTGTTCTCTACTATTACTGTGTATTGTTAAACTGCTGCAAAATTCCACTCCAGAGCTGGCTGTACAGCATGGGTGTTTATACTTATAGTTTGCAAAATGCTTTGGAATCTTTGAGATCTTTCTTACATTATTATAACCCACACACTTACTGGGTATGGTTTACTGTCCCATGTAGTGGTACTTAGACCACTTACAGACAGAGAAAATGTGTGCTCTACAGCCTTAGGTGAGAAAGAGCTTCCTTTCAACTCAAACTGTAGAGGCTCATGCATGAAGCTCCAGAGGACCCAAGTTTGGTTCCACTTGTTAGTGTTACGTTATGGCTATGTCTATGCTGCATTTTTTTTCTGGCAGTAGATATGCAAATGAAACACGTATTAGCATACCTCACACACTCATTTGCATATCCTCTTCTTTTTGCGGAATAGGTTTTTGCCATTAAAAAGCCCTGTGTAGACAGGTCCATTTGTTGGAAAAAAAACCCTTTTGCGCAAGATCCCTTATTCCTCAAAAAATGAGGTTTACAGGATCTTGAGCAAAAGGGGTTTTTTTTCCCCAACAAATGGCCCTGTCTACATGGGTCCTTTTAACAGCAAAACCTTTTCTGCTAAAAAGATCAGAAGAAGATATGCAAATGAGTGAAAGATGCTAATGAGCACTTCATTTGCATATTTTCTGCCAGAAAAAAAACGTTGTGTAGACATAGCCTATCATAAGGTTTTTTGTTTTTAGCTCATTTTCTCTCCTACTTGCTGCAGCTTCTGCTTCCCTCCAGCAAGTCAACCCCCCTGCTCCCTCCTTCAGCCTTTTCTTCAATCACTGCAGCGTTGATCCACTGCATAGTGGAGACAAACCCATTCTGTCTTCCACATGAAGTACAGTACTGTGATCTTCTTCCATGAAAGCCAATTTCCTTCTGCAACCTTCTTTGGTTCAATACCATCCCTCTCTCCAGCCCTTCCCCAATGGGAACTCCATGGCTCTTCTCCTGTCAGTGAAATTTGCCAGCATGATTTCCCCCACTCTCACCCCTTTTGTTTCCTCACCTTTGACTGGGTTGTGCATGCAAACTGGAGCAGATAAATGAGGATTCTAGCAGCCAAGTGGTGCAAATGGTCATAAGCCATGGCAGTAATAGTAATGAGAAGCAAGTCATACAACTATGGAGGATTCCCCCACTGCCCAACAGCTGGAAGCTTTCCTCCATCATTGCTACAATGCCTTCCTCTGGATGCAAAATGTAGCACTAGTCTGATGCTACTATCAGAGTTTCTCACTTGATCTGCTTTCTCTTGCCCCAACCGCTGGTGTTTCCCAGCCCGTAGGAGGCTGTTTGTTAAAAAGCACAATAGAGCCCATAAGAAGGAATCAAGGATCAATAAGCTCTTGCCATGAGCTAAAGGGCCTTACTCTGTGTGACTAAAAAGCTGATACATTGTATGCCAGAGATGATTCTTCCTTCCACCTTTGCCCCAGTCCTCATAAAAATGGAAATTGATTATTTCCCCCATGAGATTAGAAGTGGTTGTGGGGTGGCTGTTGTTTTGTTTGTTTGTTTTGGGTTTTTTTTTTTTTTTTGTAATTTGAGTTAAAATAATGTTATATTTCAGGTGTGCTTTGTGTGCTGGTAGAGTTCTATTTCTAATACTCTTTGGAATACTGGGTGTTGAAAAGATCTAATTTAAGATGATGCTACTATTTACTATGGTGAAAACACTGAAGTCATTTATGATGAAATAGTTTAAAAGAGCCATGTTTCTCTTAGATCTATAAGCATCAACAACAAAATAAAATCCACTGTTCTGATTTTAGGTATTAATGTTGGGCCTGTAGTGGCAGGAGTTATTGGGGCGAGAAGACCACAATACGATATCTGGGGCAACACTGTAAATGTGGCTAGCAGAATGGATAGTACTGGAGTGCAGGGTAAAATTCAGGTGAGTACATTACAATCACTTTTTATAAGTTTGAAGTTCCTCTTTAGTAACAATTCTATTGTTATATTTTCAAAGCTGCTTTCAGCCTCATGGCCTTCGTGTTTCTTAGGAAGATGGCAACATCCCCAAAATGATTCAGGTGCCTGCTGTGTAGTTATTCTTCTGTTATTTGCTCCACTGCTTTGAAGTGGTGAAATCAAAGGATCACCATGCCACAAAGAGAGGG